CCCTGGGGTGAGTTAGCTGACTGTGCCTCAGTTTCTTCACCTTTTTAATGGAGCCAAGAAATTATCTCAAATGTTTTTTTTGTGAAATATGAATGAGTTAATACTAGCAAAACACTTAGAATAGTGGCATATAGTAGGAGCTCAAAATGAACTGTTTTCACCATGATCCCCATAAGCATCACCACCATACCTCTTGACACAGCATCTACTAAGTATTATGCCATTTACGCATGAGGACTGGCTGATATGGATCACACACAGCAATTCCATAAGCCATACCAGACAGTTGCTTTCAATAATTATGCCAGAAGAAATGAAAGAACCAGTCTATTGTATTCATCCTAGACAACTGGGCTTCAATCTGGAATCATCCCTTTTCTTATTACCTCTTATTTGGAAAAGAATGTTTCCAAGCACAGATGTTGTTCCAGAACAATCTGACACACACAAGTCAGAGCTTATAAAACAAATACATTAGATGTTGAATGATCAATATACAAAAAGATCCCAACCAGAGTTGCTTTAAGTAAGTGATTCTTATGCAGAGATGCATCCCAGAATCACATGTGGAGCTTTAAAAACACACGTGTCCAGGAACCCAGCCAGGAGACTCTGATTCTATAGGTATCTTCTTTCCAAAGAGCTACTGTGATTCCAATGTGTGCCCCGATTAAGAATTCTAGTAATCTTGGGGTGCCTGGGTGGCTCAGTCTGTCAAGCATCTGACTTTTGGTTTCAGCTCCAGTCATGATCTCACCGTCCATGGGTTCAAGCCCCACACTGAGCTCTGTGCTGACAGTGCAGAACCTGCCTGGGATCCTCTCTCTCCCTCTCTCTCTGCCCCTTCCCTTCTCACGCATGCACTCTCTCTCTCTCTCTCTTTCTCAAATAAATAAACGAGAAAAAAAAAGGATTCTAGTAATCTCTACACCCAGCAAGGGGCTCGAACTCACGACCTCAAGCTCAAGAGTCACATGCTTTTGCCAAGAGTCACATGCTTTTCTGACTGAGCCACCCAGATGCTCCTTCTCCTAATTAGGAATTCTGACTAGGAATCAGGGGCTTCAGCTCTCGGTGCACTAAAAAATCCTATGCTAAGCCCCTCCTAGCCACTGAACAATCACATTTTTTAAAGTTTTTATTCTAATTTGTTTAACATACCGTGTTATATTAGTTTCAGGTGTATGATATAGTTATTCAATATTTCCATACATTACCCAATGCTCATCACCTGACAAGTGCACTCCTTAATCCCCATCACCTATTTAACCCATTCCCTCCACTGATAACCATCAGTTTTTCTCTATAATTGAGAGTCTGTTTCCTTGTTTCTCTTTTCCTCTTTGTTTTGTTTCTTAAATCCCACATATGAGTGAAGTCATATGATGAGCAATCATATTTTAAAAATTCTTTTTTTATGTTTATTTATTTGGGGGGAGAGCACAATAGGGGAGAAGGACAAAAAAGAAGGGGACAGAGGATCTGAGGCGGGCTCTGCACTGACAGGCTGACAGCAGCGAGCCCAATGTGGGGCTTGAACCCACCAACCATGAGATCATGGCCCGAGCTGAAGTCAGACGCTCAACTGACTGAGCCACCCAGGTGCCCGTAAAAATTCTTTAAGATGATTCTCATGAGCAGTCAGGGCTGAGAGTCACTACTTTAAACAATAAAATCTTCTGACAAATGCAAGGCATGGTTTATTTACATATATATTTTCTGAGGCATACCTACAGGTGACTCTTGATTGCAAGGTAAAGGGAAGGCAAAAGGACAGGGAGTTCATTTCATGGATAACCCAGTATCACCGTGGCAAAAGAGTCCACTCTTGATTATCTGGGGGAGAATTAAGTGGTTTACAAACTGATCATGATTCAGGCTCAGCAGGGCATGAGGACGGGCTCACTTTTCCAAACCCCCTTCCCAGCTCTGGCCTCCACACCTGCCTTCAACAGCACAGGTTCTTAGGAACACGCGAGTAGCAGGCCTGTGCTAATTATCCTGAATCTCTACTTTCACTGTGGTTAATGTGCAAACTCATTAATCAGCAGCACAATAATAAAGAGGCAACTAACTATGCTTTGTATAGGTGAGGTCTACTCTTGTTGAAAACAAGCAACACATGGAGAGTTCATTTTTATTCATTTTCAACTTTATGTGTCCAAGCAACTTTAACTGGGCAATGATAGGGCAGTTTTAAATCTGACAGTAAGTCATGTGTCATTGCTTCCAGAATTCTAAATATTTCAGGCTTCTGGCATGCTTTCAGACATAATCAATACTGTGGAGAAACTCCATTTTCAAGTTTATAAATACAGATTTAAAGTCATGATGGATACAAACTAATAATGTTTGCCACTTAATTCTGATATAAAGTCTGTGCTTTATATTAAGCATCCTTCTAAAGTAAATGCTTCTCATTAGTCTTGCAAAGTACACCTAGACCCTTCCCTTTAGCCTCTCTTTGAGGAAGTAGCTTCATCTCTCTTCTATAATAAATGAGATACCAGACACTAAATAATTTAACACACCTCTTTCAGATTTTGTTTTCCCCTTTCCTCCAAGTTTGTATTTTGAAGGTATTCAAACAAATTAAGAAGTTGAAAAAACTACATAAGAAACACCATTTGCACTTCACCTAAATTCAACATTAACATTTTGCCATGTTTGCACTTGCATGAGCTCTCTCTCTCTCTACACATGTATTTTTCTTTTGGCTGAACCATTTGAAAATCAGTGGCTGACTCAATGATTACTTCATTGCTGAAAACGACAGCATGCATACCCCCAGAACAGAGACATTACCCTGTAAAGTTTCAATAATGTTGTCACTGTTAACAAAACTAACAATGATTTTCTAACAATACAGCGAGTACATTGTCAAATGTCCTCATTTGTCCCTAAAATGTCTTCATGTAATTCATACTTCTATTTTTGAATCTCTGGTGATTTTATTATGAAGTTGTGTGGCCAGGAATAATGTATGTGTTCCACAAGGAACACCTGTCGGATCAAGGGATTCTCTGTGGTCATTGGAGAAAGCAACTTCCTACCTCTGCAGTTATCAACTTAAGATTTATTTGTAAAGGTTTCAAGATGTCCTAAGCTCTTCTTTCCCTTGACTAGTCTAGAGAGTTGTTTGTGACATCCACAGAGGTGCTTTTCAAACTGAAGCAGCAACAAACTCAACAAGAGAACATCAGCTTTACCTTTAAAGTTCTCTTTATCCTTTCTTTTCACAAATTTTTCATTCTGATTAAAGCTACCCCTTCCAGCCTCCCTGAGTAAGCAGGTGTTGGCAGTAGCTATGAGGTAATGGTGCGAAACCCCTCAGAAGCCTGTTCACCACCTGTAGCATGGCAATCATCTATATTTTAAGGTTGATGTGCAGATATGGAGAGGTAGTGTACCTGGCAGTGGGAGTAGTGGTGATGGTGGTAGTGATGGTGAGGTCATGGTGATGATGGGGGTGATGGTCCCAATTTCAGACCCTTGCCCCCAAGTAAATATACATCCAGAAATATAAACCATCATTAGATTCAATCAAGCATTTAAGATTCCATTATAGAACTAGGCACATACTTTATATATGACCAAAGTGTTACTGATACCTAAGGAATCTCCTATCACCTGCAATTTTGTAAGTTTTGTGGGTTTTCCTTAGTCATGGAGAATAACAGGCATTTCTACACTGGTGTTATAATATATCCACTAACGTCTCATTTCAATTGGGAACATGAAGAGATCAGAATCACCCAACCAGGATAATGACCACAGCCAACCAAGAGAGAGCACCTCAGAAAATCTCAACCAATACCTGCACAATACCTTAACACCCAAGAGCTTAGCTCCATTATTTGAAACAAGTGCCTTCTTTAGTGCTAATACCCACTTAAACCATGACATGCTATCGCACCTATAATTATTCTACAAAGGCTGTTTGTGTCTGACAACACACTGAATGGCTACTGTATTCACCTCTGTAAAACCTGCACACTAAGAATGTTCCAGAGAGTGTAAAGCAATAAAATATTAATTGCAGGTTCTTGTGAAATTCCATGTACATCTGTACGTCTGGAAGTCAGCATGTCCCAAACACATGGGAGTCCCTGAAATCTGACTACTGGCTACTTAAACCTCTAACTTGTTGATAATGTTACTATCACGTATTTACCTGCTCCAATTTACCTTCATTGTTCAGTGAATAAGTAAGTGTAGCATGATTTCATCAATTATTTACATTGCTTGAATATGATAAGCCACCTTCAAAATTAGTTTTATGGCCCATTGTCAGCTCATGACTTCACATTTAAAATCAAGTATTGTGTGTATCCAGAATAATGAATAACCCTGAGCCCATATGCAGCAGGATTGCACTGCTGGAACTTCCTGCATTAAGCCAGTATCTATTCAACCACAATGATCAGAAAGAAGAAACTGTGTGAACACCAGCAGAGATTCTGGTAGAAAACAAAATACTGTCATATCTTGAGAAGGCCCATCACAGGCAGCTTTGAAGCTAAGGGATCAAAGACTTGACCAATCTCATCTTTAACTACTTGCTAAAAACAATTCTAGCAAATTCCAGCATGCACCCACAGTTTGTTTAGGAAAATCAAACACTCACGTGGATAATGTCAGCAACTTTAGCTGGCAATTATTATTAACTCTCTTCAAAAAAACTGAAATAAATTTGATCTAGAAATGAGAAAGGTATCTGTGTCATTCTTAGGACTTTCTGAGTTCCTCTCTGTGGGCTTTTGGGGATTCACCTGCCGAAGACCAGGCTATTTCTGTGTATGGCACAACTGATTTCTTTCTCCCCTCCCCCCTCTTTTTTTACAATTGATTTTTTTCCTTTTTCCCTGGCAGTACAAGAAGATTTACAAATGCAAAATCAAACATGCAGAGGTACAGATTTTGTCACGGAACAAAGAGCTCAATTCAATCACAGCAATGAAAGTTCAACAATCCAACAATATTTTAAGGAGGATGCGTACCTGCTCTTTGGATGGTACAAGGAGTTCTTCAATCATCATGCTGTCCCGCGCATAGGAGCTTCTGTTCAAGGTGTACGACCTATCCGAACTGAAGGAGCGGAGGCTGTTGTATTTACAGTTAACCATTCAAGAGTGGTGGATGATGATGAGATGAACAAAATAAAATTAATGCATGCAAGTTTGAAAACAGGCAAGATGGCTAAAAATATCAACAGAAGTTGTTCTTGAAAAGACATTATCAAAAATAAAATCCCTTAAATTTGAGGAAATCTCTTAAGCTTAAACAATTTCATGATCAGATTTTGTTTAAAATTAGGCTAAATGGTGTTAAATCTGTGACAATATGAAATGAATGAAAACTCTGGATGTTTCACTATGATAGTTGAACTAACAGGGTAACTGAGAAGAACCAGATGACTATAGATAATTTGATAGTTTAAGAGATTTTTCTATGGTAAGGCCTTATCTCAGAGTCTCCTTTATCTGTTTACCTTGTACTATTGAATGGAATTATGTCTGCTGCAAATGGGTCTGTTCATAAGTCTTTGGAAACTAGCTATGGGTTTGACCTATTAAGAGTTCTGGTTTATAGCTGTACTCATGGAAAACATCAAAAAGGAAATAGTATGACAAATATATCTTACATGATCTTTGCCATCTTTCTCGCCTTGAAAAATTCAAATTTCATGTATGGTGATCTTGTCTTTCCACACTCTACTCTTTTCTTCCTTGTGCCTTAAATTGTTCTCCTTTCCAGCTTCTTTTAAATCCTCTACACAGCCCCTGACTTTCCCAGAGTGCAAGCCCCTGATGTCCTGAAGTGCCTCTCATATACTGACCTCTAAACTAAAAACCAATATGGAGGGTTGCAGGGGGTGACAGCAGAAGGGAGTGAAGATGGTTGAAACGTACGAACTTCCAGTTATAAAATAAGTCGGTCCTGGGAATACATACACATCATGGTGACTTAGTTAATAATACTGGATCAAGTATTTGAAAGCTGCTAAGAGAGTGACTATGTGTGGTGATGGATGTTAACTTGATTTATTATGGTCATCATTACTTTGTATACCTGAAACTAACATGTAATATGTCAATTACCTCTCACCTTAATAAAAAAAAAAAAAAGAGTAAGGGATGCTGGGAAGCTTGCACATATGCACATAGGACATGCAGGCTGATTGGGCTCACAACTAATCTGAGCCTTGGCAGAACACCTTGTGATTAATCCTCTGCAAACAGAGGACAGAAACTTGTGGGGAGGTGTTTGAAGCCATCTGCCTCTTACCTCCCTATCCCACCTAATATGATAGGCTGTAATAAGGTAATTTCTCATTGTCTCTTGTTTCCAATGAGGTCTGACACTTCCTGCCCCACCCTCCTTGGAATAAGCTGCAGAGCATGAAATCACTTAGCTGCAGTCTGACAGAGTCGACCCCCTGCAATGCAGCATCCCACAGCATCCCACAAATACCGTAGAACCTTTTGTTCTGGTGTTGTCCTTATTGGTGTGGAGGACAAAGATGGTGGGAAGTTGCTACCTGTCACTGCCCATGTAAGTAATAAACTGAATCTAAATGTAGCCGCTTGAATCTTTATCAGTAGAATCAGTAAGATGTTGGCCTTGGCCTTGGCTTGTGTAAAAGAGCAAAGAAGATGAAAAGAAGAACGGTTCCTTGCTTTGCACAAAATGACTTCTTTTCCCCAATGTTCCCTATACTAAAGATTACCCAAGGTGGGTATTTTATATCAAGTTACAGAGGCCCCTGAATTATAGGAATCATTCAAAGGGTCCACACGAATGAGGAGATGCATTCTTCTAGGATTAGAGCCTGGGCTTCCACCAGAATCCTTGGGGGATTTTTGACCTCAAAATAACCATCATTCTACAGAGTCATTATCTAGTGTATTCAGCAAATACACTGATTCTTATTGGTAAGGCACAATATTAAAGACTGGATACAGAAGCAAAAACAAAAAGAACTAAGCCTTATTTCTGCACAGAGATTACCTAGTAAGCCATGTATCTGGCCACTTGCATAGGCAGGCTTTCTGGACCCAGTCACATGATACATAACTCTTCCTTTTTTTTTCTGGGTTACTTGCAAACAATTTTTTGCAAACTGCGTTACTTGCAAACATCCCCCTATCACTCCTGTTTCTAGCCCCTTACCATCCCTCAAATACAATGTAAACTTCCTAAAAGCAGATACTGCCCAAGAGAACTTTCTGCAATGACAGGCACTGTTCAATACGTTGGCCACTGGCCAGGTATGGCTGCTGAGCACCTGAGGTGTGGTTATTGTGACTGAAGAATTGAACTGATTTTTACTTAATTTTAACTAATTTTAATTTAAATAATCTTATGTAGCTAGGGGCTATACCATTAGCGTAACTTCTAAGTAGTCACAGCAAGGTTCCAATTGCCCCAGTGATATGGTTGGGAGACACCACATTCATTTCTTTAAGTTCTGGTTCCCATTGTACATGGTAACGCTGTGGTATGTAAGAACAACTTTACAGTAGATGTGAACAAACATGTAAACATTAAAAAAAATATTACATATTCATTTCAACTTCAGCTTTAAAAAAATCTAAGATTTGTTAATTTTTAAAAAATATTCTCTTTCTTTTAACTTCTATATGAGTGACAACTGAAGAATAGCCTAGAACTGGGTGCCGTCAATGGGAAAGCCTAAAGATGTCTTTCTTTTACATAACGTCTAAGTTCCTACTCCTCACTATTCTGGACCAACAAGTTACGTTAGACAGATGGAGTTCATTAAGCTTCACTCTGAATCCTTAATACATCGACGTCCTTTCAGCTACTAAAACTAGATATTATTTGCATGGGGGTCTGGAAAGCATTAAATTGTTTTCAACTAAGGTCAACTATATTATTTGTAGCCATCAGTATACCCTACGTGTTAAATATAGGAAGTGTTAGAAAAACACATGCCTCAGAAGTCTAAAATTATATGAATGTACCTAGCACAACCCAAACAAAACAGCAATCAGCAAACAAACTGCTTTTCAAATCAAGATTTTTTCTTCAAACCCAGTGAAAGTTCTCCAGTTACTTCATGCATTACACAAACTTAGTTAAAGGAAAGAAATTCCTTAAGTACTCAATTTTGCATTAAGTCACATTTCTTGTCATACATTCAGTTACTTGCTAATTTTCTAAGAATTACAAAAACGATTTTCTAATGCAGAGCAGGAAAAAAATAAGCACATTGCAGCACATCACAGCACAGCACAGCACAATGCTGAAGAAAATAAAAATCAGAAAATGAGTCGGGGAAGGGCAGAAAAACACTGTAAAAGTGACATATCTTCTTACCTGATCTTGGGACTAATTTAAAGTATTTTTAGAAAAACACAGGAGAAGTAGAAAGCAAAAAAATCAGACAGGGAAAAAAGAAAAAAATGTTATGGTTGAATGAGTTACACACTTAATGTATTCCTTTTTAAATGTTACACTCAGAATATTTGGTAATACTCTAACAATACTTTAAGAAATATATCAGTGTTATAGTTTTGTCTTGTTTTTTTTTTTGTTTTTTTTTTTTTTTTTGTTTTTTTTGTTTTTTGCAGATTTGCCTCTGAGCATAACATGACTTGCCAATGTAAAAAAAAATGAGTTACATATAATAGCAACAAATAATAACGGGTGCAATCAAAACCAGAAGTGTGAAAGCCTTAGGAAAATATGCTGGTGTCATCTCTCCCTGAATGTCAGCCTCTATAATTTTCTATATACAAATGATTGACTCACAAAATGCAGCTTTTACATATCATCTGAGGAAGAGAATCAGCTAGTTATTGGATTACAAAAGCTATTAAACCTCTAAGTAGAATTTTCCCTTGAGATCCTTTGAGACTCTGTATGTTTTTCAGTTTAACTCATGGCTCTGCATGATTACACGAGATATTACATATTTTTAAACAGTTATTTTCCTCTTGTTATTAATGATCCCCTGTTACACTGAGATCTTAAGGACTTTTATAAATATATTTATAAAGCAAAAATTATATGAAGTTACATAAGGTTCCAAGTTGTATTAATAAAAAGACTAGCTCAAAGAAAAATCAATTCAGTATCTAAACTTGGCCACATCAACAACACTGAGAATAAACTCCCAGGCTTACTTTGTGGGAAGTGCCATTTACTATTAGACAATGAAACTTTTTACAACAGATCCTTAAACTATAGGAAAATGTCCCCAGGGTTCTAGCTTAGAAAGTTTAATTATTAGCTTTAAAATAACTTGACTGTCAGCAAACATGCTGTTAAACCAACCAGGGAAAAGAAGTCCCCAGATTCTGGACAAGGTCCTGTTTCTTTCAACCAGTGTCAGGTAAGTTTGAGCCAAGGTTTTTCACATGCAAAAGTTTTATACTTCAGTTTTAAAGGCTGAATTTGCTACCATTCCTGTCCATGACTTTGGGTAAGTCATTGCAACGCTCCTAACTTGTCCATAGTAAACAAAGTAATGCCACAGTTTTAGAGAGATACCCAAACACTTGGTAGACAATTCTAATAAGCTATATGTAATCTTTTTTAGAATGCTCTCTTAAGTTTCAATCATGAATTATTCTTTCAGTGTTAGAGAACAGTGAACAATCAATACAACTATTTCATACTTAGTGGAAAATAAGATTTTTCTTTCACTATGGAACAAAATTTAATTTTTAAACATGGAGACCACACTGACTCTCCCAGTTTTATCAGTGAGCTCTTTTGCCATCATGCTTGAAGCATGACTGCAAGGTGGGGAAAAAAGAACCAACATTCAACATGTTCAATCACGTAAAACCAAGGACTGAGAAACCACAAAAGAAAACAGCAGAGCATGTATACCAGAGTTGAGAACATTTGAGAACATTCTACCAAATTCACATCCTCATCCAAAGAGCACATTTGGGGATAATGTGAACAATGAAAATGATTTTGGTTTATGACAAATCATGGTTGTATTAAGGTAACTATGAAAAACAGCACCAATAAAATACCTGGCAGAACGGGCCCCAAGACTAAAGCCCATGTAGCCCTCTGCAGGGAGAGAGTCATCGCCCAGCTCCTTAAGGTCCTGGGGCCCCAGGTATTTGTCCGTGTCACCTGTCATTGCGTCCTCACCTGTGGATGGACAAAGCAAACCACAATCAGAAGCTTCCCTTTTGAAAATGCATTTGTTGTGGGGAAAACCGCTCCTTTGATCACCAGCAAATCACTCATTTTCTCATAATCCCCTACCCCCTGGATAATATCTGTAACTGCCATTTAGAAGGAAAAAGCATAGGTAGAGGTTAGTCCATAATTTCAAGAGTGAATTTAAGTAGCGAAAGAGCTCCTGGTGTTAAGTTTTCCATGTTAAAATGTCTCCCCTGTCTCATTTCCCCTCCTCAAGCCCCGGCTGACTAGAAGGCTGACTAGAACGGTGGCTCTTTTACTTCGGTTGGCTTTCCATGCCTCACTATGACAAGGGCAGCTCGTCTGAATGGACGTGGATTGCAAAATAAGAGCCACCTCTCCATTACTGTTCTGGAAAATCATATATGGGAAGGGAATGGACTTTCTTTTTCAAAATGGTCTTCTCACACACAGGATTCCAGTTCGGGGCTTATGGAAGAAACTAGCAAGTTATTTAATCTGAACTATTACTGCTTAATAGTTCAAGGAAAACCTTGAAACACATCAATTTTGAACTGTTTCTACACCAATCACAGTAACAGCTCAGTGCAGCTGCCCCAGGGCTGGAACCCTACTTGGGAAGGAGCTCTACTTTCTGTAGAGACCAAATGTAGAGACCAGCAGTTTGAAAGGACTGATATAAATTGCTCTTTGCCCATCAATACAAAGAGTTAATTTTGTAAAACTTTTACTAGCTACATATGCACAGCATGACCTCACGGAAAAACCACATTCCAAGAGTGACAGAGCAGGTTTTTCAAATGCCTTTTGCCCTCTGGGACGTTTCCCATCCTTTTCAAAACGTATCACAGACTGTGGAAAAGTTCATTCCGAAAACAGGCAAACCTATCTCCTTTTTATGACTCTCCTTGTCTTTCTGGACACAAGCGTGTCTGGCTGAGAGAGATCTCAAAAGCATGTATGTTATGTTTTCTCAAAGGTAAGTGATTCATCTGTTCCAGCTATATTTTCCAATTCCTTCATTTGGTACCATTTATAATTTCCATTCATTTAAACCCAGGAAACCACAGAGCTTAGCTTTTAAACTACCAATCAAGTCTAAAAATACACTATCAACTACTGTTTTTGCAAATATAAAAACTAAACAGATCTGTTTTCTACTACTACCCGGTACCAAGAGATTATTTTAAGTAACTATTCACAGCTGGGCTATTTGCACATTCACTGCACATGAAACAAAAACAGCACACACCAAGTACAACTTAAAGAAAGAGCTTACTCTGCGGTAAAGCCATTTCCACCAGGCGGGGCTGATCAAATGTTTTCCTGATGTTTCCAGGAATTCCTTAGGCAGTGATTTAGAATATACCTCCGAATCAGCCCAAACAAACCGACCCCTGGGGGTGTATTCACGTCTTCACCACCACCGCAGGGTCCTGCTCAGCATCTTTGTCTTCTCGTAGGCAGTGGAGGACTTACACATCTTTTTCTACTCATCAGAGTGCAAAGATTTTCGATCTTTCAGACCAGAAAAAATAAAAATAAAAAAGAGCAAAACCTGGCTACACTTAATTGAGAAGACCCTTTTGATCACTCTGCAGACATCCTTTCAAAGCTCCTTCTGATTGGACCAAGAACTCCGCTGGCAAGCCTCTAGCAGGACCGAATGGTGACATAAATGCAAGCCCTTGAGTTATTTGTATGTAAATATGAGGACTGCTCCAGTGTAGACTTTCGGTAATTTGATACCAATGCCCGGTGCCTAACCGGGTAACCGAGACCGCCTTAAATCTAGGGAGAGCCGGCGAGCGGGGTGCTGCGTTTAGTCAGGAGGTGACTCTTCTCCAACATGAATGAAGAAACGGCTAAGCCAGGTAGAAGAAAAAACAGAAGAAAACAAAGAAATGGCCCAGGCGGGGAGTGGCAGGGAGCTCCAGGCAAACTTTCAACTTTGTTCTCAGCTGGGAACACCGGGAGCCCTGGTTATTTATGGTCCCTGTCAGGTGGAAGGAGGGGAAAAAAAGAGCCAGAGGGAGGGCCTGCCCTTGAGCCGAGGTGCTGAAACTGTGGGGCTGCGGGAAGCCACAGCGATTCCAGAAGCTCTCCGAGAAGCGCCTGAGAGTACATGGATCCCCACTGCTTTTTGTCAAGAGTTGGAAGAAAGGAGCAGAAGGAAAAAGCAAGTGAATGTCTGCTTTATTTTGGGCATAAGTTCTTTCGACTCTTTAACCCACTCAAAGGAACTAACTGGTCATCCCTCCACCACCACCCCTCTCCCCCGCCCCCTTGAGAAGGCTCTGGAGAGAGCTCCCAGCAGAGAGGAAGAAGCATTTGCTGCGAAGGGCAGGAAACAGCCCGGAGGAGGCACTGCTGTCACTTTGCTGTTATGGTGTTTCCCTCTCTCTGGGACTCCTGGCCTCTCTCTGGGTCTCCCGGCCTCCCTTCCCAGCTGCTCCACCCTGTCTGTGTTGGCAAGTGGAGGAGAAAACTAGCAGGAATTCTGCATCCTCCATTTGGGTACACTAGAGAGGCAATTTCAATTTCTTTTTTCTCAGAATAGCTGGAAAATGAGGTTAGAGAGTAAGTAAAGGGTTTTGAACGGTCTTGCTGAAATCAGTGGCATATGGTACTTTTTTCTGATTGGGTCTCTATCTCTTGGGTTGTTATCTAAAGATACAGAAATTTGAATCTGTAGAACTGATGAAGCGGGGTACAGATTTATTTTTCCTGGATAAATGCCTCAATCAATGAATCAATGGCTCATCTAATATTAAGACAATTGGAGACCTGGTGCTTTAATTTGACGAGACTGACTGTAGTCAGCACTGTAATTATGCTGCGATAGAAGGAAAGCCATTTATAATGCCTGGTACATATTGAAAAATACTCCCAAGCAAAAGAAAAATTTTCAGTTTTGCAAAGAATGGAAGGGGAAGTCATGGTTAGAATGGATAAAAGGGCTAAACATTAATCTGTTTTCCACATCTGCACTTAAAATCCAAACTGCTTAGCGAAACCTCATTCAATGACTGTCGCTCATTCAAGCTCCCTAACAAGGGCTTCAGTGAACAAGTTCCTTCCTTTTGACTTCTTGGCCAGTCTTTCTCTTTCTCTAGCCATTCCTCCACACCTGTTGCCCTTCTGTCAAACAGAATTATTTCAGTCCCTAGAATTCCTGAAACACTTTAGACTTTGAACCACCACATAGGGCGCACTCTTGATGGAACCTTCACCCCTCTACTTCTCCAATCTTTGACTCTAAAATTCCTCCCATCCTGTACTCACCATCTTAAGTTAGTGGTTCTGCATGTGGGCTTCCCTTATCAGAGTGTACTGCCGGTGAAAACATCTGTTTAGTCTCTCCCACTGGAGAGTGAGATCCCCTAGATTAGGAACCAAATTTTCCTGAGCCTGGCATATTGCAAGTGCCCAATAAATATTTTTGGATTTCATCATTGCTTTTATTAAAGAGTATGGTTTAAAAAAATAGACTCTTAAATACAGAGAGCAAACTGGTGGTTACCAGAGAGGAGGTGAGTAGGGGGATGGGAGAGGAAAATAAAGAGGTAGGTGATGTGCTCGTCTCTGCATCTATGTGCCTTGGCAATGGCAACATAGCACTCTTCTGACATGTCAAACTTGATGGCTGGTATACAGTTAAATGGTAATAAGGTTAAGTTTCTATTCTTCTTTGCCCATCCTTCTTAAACTTCAAAAATGGTCACTATGAAACCAAAAGAAGCCCAGAGTTGAAATGGGGTGAGAGCTGTCAATATATTTGGCCAAAGATTAATTAAAATAGCCTTACCACATGGTGAAAACATTTCTCAAAAGGCATGGCAAGTAGAAACAAAGGCAATGGTATTATTTTAAAGCAGTTTTGCACAGTTGGTGCTCTGGATTCAAATCCAGGCTTCGTCATTTACTAATTAGCTGACCTTTGGAGCACTGTTTACCCTGAGTCACAGTTTCAACCTTTACAAAACTAGGATAATAATGCTGCCTTCCAGCCGAAGCCTTCTTGTGGGGAATTAAGTGAAATAATGCACGGAAAAAGGACTTAATCTGCTCTGTTAGTGTTATTCTGTAACACAGCTTTGTCTAGTGCCCAAACATCTGAATTCATGAACTCATGTAGTTAGCATTTAGATTGCTAGTATTGATAGTGGTAAAGGCAAAATCCAACCACAGCAGCAAATGTCTCTGCTTTGTACCATGTAACACAAGGCCTGGCTCATAGGGACTCAACAAATATTTGTTGATTGATTCAGTGAATGAATAATAATAGAAAAAACTCACTCTCCTTTCAATAAACAAAATATTCTATAATTTTGTATGCCAAAACTTCGAAAAGCATGACATGAGTTGTGTTGGGTGACTTGTTAACTGTCTCTAATCCCAAAAATATTTTGATTGGTAGTAGCTTCTGACCAACATGCCCAAATGTAGATAAGCTAACAAAGGTAATTCTATGACTGGACAGCTCTGTTATAATATCAAACATATTTAGTTGAAATATATATATATATATGTATATATATATTTATATATATATATTTATATATATATATGAGTATATATATATATATGAGAACCATGTCTCTTATATTCATGTGTACTGCCTTTAAATGAATTTGGGCTGGGTCAAGTTTTGAACAATAAAGTGCAGGGGAAGTGATTTTGCATGCCATTTCAGTTTTAGTTCAAGGAAACCTTGCAGTTTCTTCTTGAGTCTCTTTCAAACGCTAGTTTGGGGGAAGCCAATCCCAGTGTAAGAAATTTGACTACCATGAGACCACCATGATGTAAAGAAAGTCAAGGTGGCCGTAAGGAGAGGCAGCATGGAAAGAGACAGAGAGAGGCCCAATTAGTGCTCAGATGTTCCATTCATCCTAGTGGGGTTGATAGACTATGAATGAAGATACCACATTGAACATTCTGCCATATTACTCCCACCCCAGCTGCTATCTGACTGTAATCTCAGC